ATGAGTTACTGCAGGAACAACCTATTAACAATTAACTTCAAGAAAACCAAAATAATGGCTTTCTCTAGACATAGTAAAGTTAAAGAATGGGTTATTGAGGGCCAACATATAGAGCAAGTTAAAACATTTAAAGACTTGGGAATTGTCTTCTCACGTACCCTCTCCTGGTCCCACCATAGACAAACTGCAGTGCAGATGGCTAATAACACAAGCAAAGTTCTTAGACGATACCACTATGTCCAGGGTGGGCAGTTCATCCCTGCTGCTCTACAAATAGTTAAGTACAAAATTCTTGCACAGCTCCTATATGGTATTGCAATTTGGATAAATGGTTTCAATCCTGCAGTTGAAAATGTTCTGTCAAACTCGTTGCGACTCCTATTCGCCATGCCAAGGTGTGCCTCTTCAGCTGCTTTGCGTTTGGAGGCTGGTCTTCAATCGGTGGAATGTCAAGCTTGGTTGTATGCATTCTGATACTGGTTGAAGGTGGTATATGTTCCCACAACCAGTGGGTATTTATACTATTTACAAAAAGATGTTTTTGCCAGCTCATGGCATAAGGGATTTATTGGGCTTCTCAATTGACTTCTTTCGGAATCAGCCTTATGATAGTACCAAGTCAATGATTGTACAACGCATTAAAGACATAGACCTCCAGTATTCACTAGCTTGTGCAGACAGGACCTGCTCACCAATGCACTTTGGTTTTAATTTTAACTTTCCCAAGTTAGCAAATTATATCAAATCACAGTACCAAGGTATCGTTTTGTCTTCTCAAGGGCTAGGTTTAACTGCTTTCCCTCAGCCCTGTTAAAAGGGTGCTTTAATGACATTCCTTATAGAGAAAGGATATGCCCCTGTGGGGAACAAACAGTTGAGTCCTTGGCACACACCATTTTAGAATGTAGCTATATAGATCTGAACGTAACCATTATGTCTACCCAATAATGTATAAATGTACTGGTATACCTCCCGGAGACTACCTGAAGTTTTTGCTGTCCGGAGAGAACCAATTAATAACACAGTCGGTGGCTAAGTTTTTATTCACAGTTTTAAAAATTCGCAAAATGTTATAATAAGACAAGTACATGACTCATGTTTTATACTGCTGATATATTTTAACAATTTACTTATTTTATATATTTTATATAACGTGCTTATTTTTGTATTTTTGGGTCTATGACCGTATAATAATAAACTAACTAACTTTAAAAATGAATTTTGGTTTGTATCCAGTAATGTCAGTTCACTTGGATACAGCTTACGAAGCTTGTGAAAGCCCTGTTTTCATTGTTGCACAACTTTCAGATCCAGTGCTTTGATTCAGCTTGAATGGTCTACAAACCTTTACTGGAGTGCTTTCATAACTCATCCCAGCTTCAGTACAGAGGGCAATGACTTTGATAGCATGTGTTCATTCTCTGTCAAAACACTGCCCCCTCTTGGGATTTTATCACTAGCATCATGTTGAATAAGGCCCAGGCATAGTATTACGGTATGTTAAGTCTTATTGGTCTTTACAGCAAAAGCAAATGCACATGGTGATTTTTTTAACTGTTTTCTCATATAATAACATTAAAGAGTAATGCAGTGTGTAAAGTTCAACATATTTCACTATAGATGATGTAAACATCTGTGAAACACGTTGAGTAAAAGATGGCATTTCATTTACAGTACTTTAATGCAATTGTTGGTTTAGAGTGGTGATGGTTCCCCAGCAGGTAAACCCAATAAATAACCATGTGGTTAAAGGCCAAAATGGGGAGAAGTGAAGGTTCTTTATGTTTCATTGACACTCTGATATTTTCTTTCTTCTGGCTCACAATATTATTCTAAATTAGAAAATGTACTTGTTTAGTATGATTTAATATTTATCTAAACTCAGCCCAAAGAACAAGAAGAAAACTCGGCACTAGTTCACAC